TGCACAACTCCACACCAGTCATATCACCAAACACACTAGCTGCATTTCAGCTGCAGTTCAACCAATAAAAACATCAGATCAGCAGCTCAGAAACTGAGCCCAGGTCTTAATGAACATGCAGCAAAGATGCCAGGTGTCTCGTTCAAGCAAATAGGCATGTTTAAAAGACTGAGCTCCTGGGGACAATTCAATTTTGAATATTTTAAGCAGTAATGTAATATTTCAAGGTTTACTACAAGTGGCAATATTTTACTGTTGAAGTTTTTGTGTATGTCGAATAAGAATTGCCACTTCGGGTTTCAAAACAACTTTAATTAAAAATGAACTAAAAACATAGACATTCTCTGGCCCACAGATTTGTTGAGATTTTATATGGCCCTTTTAGTGGTTGAGTTTGTCACCCCTGATTTAAGTGCTGTTTATCTGTTGGTGACAGTTTCGGTGGTCTATCAGGTCTCGCACAGTTGTCAGAAGTCACAGTATTTCTGTATCTTTGAAGCATTTTTTGAAGTTCAGTTTTAGAACCTCCTGTTTACTTATTTTCCCTTGACTATCTCCTTCCTGTGGTGAATAGATTGTCTTATAGCAAATTTTTTCACAAATATCATCTGAAAAAAGAATAACTTGCACTTAAAGGCCATTTTGACTAAATGAGGGTTAGTCTCTGACTTCAGCCCAGTAGGCAAATGTTTCTAATAAAGTGGCTAGTGAGAGGAAGCACAATGTGGATGTTCTAAGAAAGTGGCTAGTTAGCGTGTACACATACATGATGACAAAAACGTGTTGCTGAGGAGGTTCTACCATGTAAACCACAACACGTTCAGTACTGAAAGTGACAATTGGCCAGTTTCTGGTCCACTTTCTAAGCAAAGCTGCAAAAGTTGCTTGCCAGTCACTCTCTAAAAGAGGTCATTTTCTTCCCCCTCATGTTGAGGAACTCCTCGCAAAGTTGCCGCCTTATAATTAGAAGCACTGATAGAGGAATGGGCCTCGATTGTCTGCCGCTTTTTAATTTAATGTGCATATAAAAAAGGAAGCGGTGTAATCAAGCTTCAATTAACTGATGACTAAATCTGTCCCACCCCTCCAGCTGCTTTCCCTGGACCCCCGACGAGCCAGCCAGTCCCACACCCCCATCAGCACCCCCTCACCACCCTCGTGGGCCCCCTCCACTGCGTCCCGACAAGGGCTACTTGTGCTCTCGCACTCGCTAATCCATTTTAATCAGGAAACGGACCAATCTCTTGTCCAAATGGGTGCGTCACATGTGTCCTGACTGGAGGGGGGGTATGAAACTCCAGCTTATGTGGATCTGTGTCGCATGTGTGTGTGTGTAAGGATTGAAGGGGGGGTCCATACTGATAGAATTAACATGAGGAAATGGCTAACCAGCTTTGCGGCTCTGATGTGCCTCAAGTGCTTCATATTTCCTGGGAGAAGCGTTTGGTGGAATATTAATCATAATATGATTAATTCTGCTGCTCTGGAGCGCGTGTGCTGTTTCCACAAAGGCGGCTTGAATGGCTACTCTTGGGGTCTGTGTTTTTCACTTCCCCGCCGCAGGCTGTTGAGTTTAAACTGCATTTAAAACTCGCTCTGAGAGGAGCCGTCGGAGGGGAGTGTGTGTGTCCGTGGGAAGTGCGGCAAGGTTGTGTCTGCGTGTGTATGTGTGTGTGTGTGTGTGTGTGTGTGTGTGTAAGCAGCTCCATGATGGACTAATTGGTTTAGCAGCCAGGGAGGCCAAAGGCCAGCATAGCGTAGCACGAGACAATGCGAACCTGATGTGGGACGAGAGACAGAGACAGAGAGAGAAAGAGAGAGAGATCATGTGTGAGGCACCTCTCCATCCCTCTTTCTCCATGATCTATCCCTCTGTCTCTCTTTTTAGACCTCATCTCCCAGGACGTTGAAAGGGCCAGCCCCATAAAACCCTCAAAATATGCTGTGATGTGTACTGCAGGTTAAAGATTTACTATCTTGTTTGTAGGACAGGTCCAGAGTGTTTTCAGCCTTGCTAAACAGTTTCCCTCCCATTTCAATCCTCTCTCTGTCCCACATCTGGCCTTACTCTACAGAATAACCCAAGACTCACTGGCAACCGTATGGTTCTATCAATCCACTCTCCATTCACCATCATACTTGTAGCTTAAATCATCAAATTAACAGTATGAGACCAGCTGTCCGGCTGAAATTCCATGCTGGTTTATAGCATTGTTCCATCTCAATTCTTTGATTGATAGCGTTGCGTTATTTTCCCCAAGAAACGAGAGATGTTGGGCTAACTATACAGTAAAAAATGATTTGTCAGGCCTAAAACAATCATGTTGTAACAGACAGTTTAACTGGTGTCATTCAACTCAAATAGATACTTTGAAATGACAAATTGAATTAACAAAGCGAAATAACATTTTAAAGCAATTTTTACAATGTAGCAAACCCCAGTTATACAAACCCTAGTTGTAATCAATTTCCTCCACTTATCAAATGCAGAAAAGGCACATAGTTCAAAACTATACAGTCATATGTTAACGTTTGAACAGCCCCAGTCAAATTTTATGTTTTGTTAATCTTCTAAGTGAAAATAAGTTGACACATCCTCTTAAATCTGACATTTTTCTGTAAATATTTAGACATATCGTTCAACATATTGAAAAAACTAATAAAAATAAAAAATAAAATGTGCTATAACTTTTGCACAGACCACATTAAATGTTAAATTTAGCAAATATATAGTAATTTTCCATTAAAACGTGTCCTCTGTAGAGGATATATCAACTTATTTTCTCTTAGAAAATCAACAGCCTCAATCAAACTTTTCCATTTTTTATTCCATTACCTTTCCATGCCATTCGCTCCCTGGTCACATATAAAGTTGCGAAAATAGCCAGTTTCAAAGGCATCATGGTTGTGATGTCAATGCCATCAGCACATTTACATATGACTAGCGTTCAGCAGTTTAGCCACACATTCACAATGATGTGACAAGTAGTGTTGTTACTGCAGACAGTCTGTGGTTTCGGAGTGAAAGATGTGTGGAAAATGACTGAATGTTGAGTTGTTCTTGGCTTTGGCGAAAGCAGATGGATCATTGCAGCCTTCCAAAGTATCCAGACATCTGAAAGGAGTGGCAGAAGTTTATATTCTCCGACATCCATGAGGATTTCACTCAGAATTTAACAGTTTCTTCTGTATATTTCAGCCCAGACTGCTTTTTGAACAAGGAACAATGCATGTCAGTCAAAGAGAACGGAGGTCAGTCTTGAAGGCACAATGACTAAAACAGCCGGTTTAAGTGGTTGGAAAATTATGTGAAAATTAATTGATTGTTTTTGGTGGAAAAAATTGACTTCAGGGGAAGGTAGAATGTGGAATATGAGCGCTTTGATATATGAAAGTATTAATAATCTTTATTAAATCTTCACTGAAGCTGAGGAAGATAATGGTACCAGTGCTCACCTTCATATTTGAGTGATCTGTTTCCTTACACGTCGGGATACCCGGGAATGGAGGAAGGTTTGGGTTGGGTTGTGTAAAGTGTTTTGGCCATTGATTGGAACTGGAGAGACACGTACTTGGCTGGGTTGGGGCCTCTGTGCTCTCTCCTCATTATTATTCATGAGCGCAGGGCTTGCGGGATGCCTGGCGGGTGGGATTAGACTCTCCCTCAGCGCTTGTTGTGCCGGAGGCCTTGGGACAGGGGGCTGGCTGACACCGCTGATGGAGTGTGATGGGCCTGGCCATTCTCTTGCTCTGCCTTTCTTTCTTCCTCTTTCTCTCTCTCTCTCTGTCTCTCCCTCTGGTCATCCTGGTCAGCCTGAGAATCCATGCTGGCCTTGCTCTGCGCATGGCACTCTCATTCTCTGTAACTCTCTCTCATGTCCCTCTGTTAAAGATGGGTGATACCACTGATTTTCCATTTTCTTATGAAAACTACTAACTGTGGACACTAAAATGATATTTGAAAGCTTTAGCATTAGTACTAAATAAACTGCCAGAAATCAAGGACTAAGTGGAAGAAAAAGTAGTTTCTCATTTCTATACTTTTCATCAAGTTCAATGTCATAAATTAAAATAAATGAATAAATAAATGCATATTTATATGCATAATATAAATGCATATCGCTGTTGTCGGAAGAAAACCTTGTATCTCCAGTTTTTGACGTTTTTTAGTTTTTGACATTTTTTGAAAATGCTTGTTGTCCTTTACATTGTATGTAAATTTCATGATGACCAAAAGAAACGACCCAAAATGGCTTGGAAAAAACTCTGGTTCCATATATACGTTTTTGGTTTTAGAAAATGCTTGACATCAATATTTTTGAGAATTGATGACACAAGGAATAATCACTGAAGAGTTACTATAAACTCTCCATTGGCTTTATTAGAAACGCTTATCTACTCACTGACCACTTTATGACCATCACTGACCTTATTGGTCCACTATACAATTATACAAATACACACTGCAGTCCAGCTGTTGCCATTTGTCGGCTACCTTCTACCTCAGTTTTTTGACCACAGGACTATTCTTGACCAGATATGGTTTGGGTAGTGGACCATTCTCAGTTTGTGTGAAGGTGGTATGTGTGGTCCACCACTGACCACCACCCAAAATGATCCAAGAACAACTTTAGAGTGGCTAGAAGGTGGCTAACACAAACTACATCAGAAGATGGACTGTAGTATCTAACTGTACACCAACAAGGTAGAGCTATAAAAACACTCCTAAAAATGAAGGTTCCTAAATGGCTCTTGGCTTTGAAATTTGGTTCTAGTAAGCAGAACTTTTATATTACTACATTACTTTAGATGGTTTACACTTTACATCAATGGTCCTGTAAAGAGCCCCCCATTTAAAGGAACCTGAAGTGGTTCTCCTACGGATTTTGTGCCATCAAGTGTGATAAGTGTACACGTTGGACAGCAATGAAGAAGAACATTCTATTACAGATCAAATGAGGTACATAATGGCCTTACAATCTCTCTCTCTCTCTCTGCAGGTGATGAGTATCCTGAGTAACCCCAGTGCCGTACCCTCTCAGTCCCAGCATGATTTCTCCATCTCTCCGCTCCATGGCAGTCTGGAGGCCTCTAACCCCATCTCGGCCAGCTGCAGCCAGCGCTCTGACCCCATCAAGAGTGTGGACAGCCTGGCCTCCTCACAGTCCTACTGCCCCCCAACCTACAGCGCTACAAGCTACAGCGTGGACCCTGTTACCGCTGGCTACCAGTACAGCCAGTATGGCCAGAGTGAGTATCCACACAATTCTGTGTGTTTACCTTTGGGTTTTATGGCAAAAGTAGAGAAATAAGATTTAACATTGTTTGCAGTTTGAAGCAGTCAACACTCTCAGGAACGTTCTTCAAAACAATTGTAGGAAATTTTTGGAGCATTGGTCAGGTTTGTCCAGATCTTGTTTAAGTGGTACAAATCCAGCACACCTGTTAAACTGGGCAAATATCAGCTTGAATCAATCTGTGCTGGACCAGAGATGGACACCCAAAGGGTAGGTGTACAAGAATGATTTGGGCAAAAATCAAATTTACGTAATTTTCTACTTCCCCCAGTTGTAGTTGATTAGCTAAGACATGTTTGGTATCCAAAAAAAAAAGACGTCTGGTGTCCACATATTAGTTAAAGACTAACATTGCTAACAAGCACTAGAAGCCAATAGTCACCCAAATCTTTTCCGTAAATAGATGCAAAAACCTCTCAACACACTCAAACTACATCCAGGTGTTCTTTATGGTAAATAGAAATAAAAGAAATTGCAAATGTAACCAGCGTCCTTGGCTGCCTAACAGAGTTCAGCTATCCAGTGAAGTTTTGTTCATTTTTATATTACACACTAAGTCATACTGTGTCCTTAACCAAGTCTGTGTAACCTAATTGAACATCTGGATGCAGTTTCAGCAGCTGAACATTAGCCATGTAGCACCAGCTAAACTAAAGAAACAAAATGCTGACACCAAATATGTCTTGGTTGATCAACTATATCCAGCGTGAGTGGAAAGTTGTGCTCATGTGTTATTTTCCCAAACTATTCCTTTAACTACAGATGAACTGATAGAATTGAAAATGTGGTGAAATTTTGGATTGGCACTGTCACTACCTAAAGAATTCAACTGAACACCCATATAGTATTAACATCTTAATAAATAATGACTCACTTACAGTGTCTAAAGCAGTAGAGGCTAATTTAGGTATCACCTGTCTGATTCAGCACATTATACAGTTATTCAGGAAAGGTTATTAATTAATTGGTTTCCTTTCACCTGGAGTGGCCCATCACAGGTTTAGCCCAGTGGCTCCAGCCTCCATGATCCAGTCCCAGCAATCCTAATTGCTTCCTTTAGGGGCAGTCAGGGTGCTGAGTCGGGGCAATCGGTGGCCGAATCTCCTGCCCTGACCCCTGTGGCCAGTGCAGCAGACACATGCTCCTGATAAAGAGCTGCTCCAGTGCCCTGGGGCGGCTGGGTTAGTCACACTCGTTTGTGCTCCACTGGGAAAACGGGCATGGGGGCCACTTCAAAGTCAGCCCCTCACACCCCCAGGGTTCCACTGTCCTCCTAGCCACCTCTCTCACTTTCTCCCTCACACATACAGCCAGGCAAAACGCAGTCGCTCGCGCAAATACGCACCGCAGGGCAGGAAAGGACTGATTGATTGAATTAGCATAATCAGTGACTGATGTTGTCACTGGGGCAAACTGAAGTGGATGTGCCCACCGCCTCAGTAAGGGGCAGGTGGGGTGTGTATGAGTTTGTGTAAGTGTGTGTGTGTGTGTGTGTGTGTGTGTGTGTGTGTGTGCAGGAATAGTGTTGGATCAATATGAAGGTGCAGGAGCTGATGGAGGCTCGCTGATGAGCGAATGTCAGGTTAATTATGGGTGAGATTGAGCGACGTGGGCCGCTTAATGACTGCAGGATGAATGAAAGGGGGTTTGATGAGGAAAATGAAGGGGGGATGAGCAGTGTGTGAGGCATGAAATCCGAGATGCCAAGAGTAATAAAGACTGGCACGCACATACACACACACACACACACACACACACTTACACACACACACACACACACTTCATCTCCACTGAGTGACGCCATGCTTTTCTACTTCATCTATAGCAGTATTTTACAGACAACAGGCTCAGGATTGAGCAAAATATAGCTTTGTTTACATTTTAATCAACTTTTTTTATCATTATTATCATTCAATTTTGTTTTATATTAGTTTATATGTTTATTAGTCACATTTGCACAGTTTTCCCCTACAGTTGTCCCCTGAGCCGAGCCATGCTTGGTGTTTCTCTAGTTTCCACAGGCGCTACAAGGCTAGCTAACAAGTAACGATAGGTAATGATTAGCATTAAGCAAACTGCATGTCTAAATCATCACACACTCTTCCTTAAGCTATGCTAAGTGGTTGAATCAAATTTGTACAATTTTGCTGGCTAGTTTAGCAACAGAGCTTGCTAACAAACCAATAATCACCCAAATCTTTTCCATAAACAAATCCAAAATTCATAAACAGGCTCAGGACTGAACAATGCTATGAGGCTAGCTAACATGTATGATAGTGATTAGCATCAATCTTCATGCCTAAATCATCACACTCTTTTTTAAGTAGATGAATCATTTCAAATAGACTTGCTTTTGTAGTTTCTGACACTGTATGACATACTTATATCTTTAAAAATGACAAAGAAAATGAACAATTCACCCTTCAAGATGGCTGCTACTGCTGTTTTTAGCCAACATAGTTTTCTCCATATTAACAGTTTATATGGCAGTCAGTTTTAACGGCACAGTCTGATTGGTTGAGGAGCATTTCCAGGCTGATATCTGTCATAGCAGCGTAAGTGTTTCACAATACCTGTATCATTCCTCTGAGCACCAGTCGCTAAGTAACAACTCACTTTCTGCAACAGCTAATGTTGAGTTTCTGCTTTTTACTTCTATAAGAGAACATTTGACCTGGTCAGATACTAAAGAAAGATGTGACAGCTTCGCACTCAGAATGTGCCACTACTGCTAAACAAGCTTTTCAGTCAGATGCTATGATGGTAAAACAAACAAACTGGAAATAGCCCGAAATGAACAGAATACAGTTCAGCAAACAAGATGGGCTGTGAAACACTTTACAGGAACAAAGCGACATTCAGGTTAATCTGGCAAGTCCTGACAAAGCTGAGCTGAGCTGTTTTTTTCATCTTGAAGCCTGAATTTGAAACATTTTATAGCATTTTTGTTGATAATAGTAAATCACACAACGTCAGAAACCACGTAAACAAGTCCATTTGAGATTACTTAGCAAACGCGACACGATTTGAGGTGAGTGTGTGGTTTAGGTAGTAGGCAGTTAGCATGATACTAATGTAAGCTTCCATTAATCATTAGCTAGATTAGAATTGAACCTCCAGAAGAGGAAAACTCCAGACATCAAGCACATCTTGGCTGATCCGCTACATTTATTGTAAATGGAAAATAATATATAAAGTATGTGTATTTAAGCAAACTGACACGACCTACTGCTCTGTACTCAACGATATATGTGTGTTTCTAGGTGCAGTGGACTACCTGGCTAAGAATGTGAGTTTGTCCACCCAGCGGAGGATGAAGTTGGGTGATCATTCCGCTGTCCTTGGACTACTGCAGGTGGAGACAGGACAGGCCTACTGATCACCACTAGACCTACAGCTTACACGTGGCTCTGTCCCGGACCGGCTAGTCTCCTTTGTATGCAGGAGCGAGACTTCACTCCCTTGAAGTTCCTAGTTTTTAAATGAAAATACTGGTTCAGTCTATATTTCCCCCTTTCCAGTTGCCCATTCTTACCACCCTGACCAGCCTCATAAAGGGTACGAGGCAAATCCAATGCCACAGCCACTCCAATGACTCCAATGACTGCTACGATTAGCATTTCTGTATGTATTTCCAACATGTTGTATATAGTTGTCTATGAATTCCAATGTCATTCAAATTGATAAGCTTTTTTTTTTTGCTGTTGATATTGTTCTGATGATTATCCTCTTCATAGTTGTCGTAATTACGATGATTGTATCTTTTTCTTTGCTTTATTAACCTCACCATTCTGCTCTTCCTCCTCTCTGAAGCTGAGCTCTTCATGTGAAATGCTAGCGGTGTGCTTCGCTAGCACGCTAGCATGTGGCCGGTGGTTTTCCACTTCCCCATGTCCCGGAGCGCCAGCGCTCCTGAGCAATTTGACCTTCACTTTCATATTTCACTTGACATTCCGTACGAACTTGGCCACTCTGTGGGAAGTCTGGCTAAGTGCATCCTGCTGGGAATTAGCGTCGACTTTCGCTAGACAAATGTTCCCTTCTCCTCCCTTACCCCTCCCATGCTCGTTCTGTCCTTAGCTGTCCTGGGGGAAAGGGCATTGTCTTAGGAAAGAGGATTTGGGGAAAATACTGTGCATTTTACTTTATTTTTAAAGGAGGACCAAAGTCGCTAACCCCAAACTAGACCTTACCCTGAACTTTTTAAGTCAAATCGCAGTTTGAAAGGTCATATTTACTCCAAATGTAGTCAGCCAAGACATGTTGGGTGTACCAAGTTTTGCACCAGAGCTACGAGGCTAATGAAGCTAACAAGTAATTAGCATAACAAGCAATTAGCTTCGTGCAAACTGCATCCCTAAATCATCTCATGCTTCCTTCAAACCGTGTCAGGTTCTTGAGTAATCTCAAATAGACTTTCTGACACTGTATGATGTACTGTTATCTATAAAAACGCTATAAGAATGTACAAAATTCAGGTTTCAAGATGAAAGAACACCTTTGCACATGTGGAGTTGAGACCAAGTATGAATTTCTGGAGCATTCCACTTTTTCCAAGCGCCCTCAACGCTCCTGGGAAGCATACAGAGGCCCACAGGCCGTGGCATTCACGTGCACTTTGGCAAATCAAATAATCCTCTCAAACAGCTAAAGGGCACAGGTAGCGGCACATCAAATTCTCACTCATATTTCCATTTCTCTTTCCTTCTTTTCATTTCCTGTGGTGCCATCTCACTCCTTGTCGCTCTCGCTCTTTCTCCGGCTCTTTCCTTCTCCGTGCCGGCTATCCAATCCCATCCAGCAGGGCTTCTCCTTTAATTTCAAATCTCACGCGTTCCGATTTGTACAAAATTGTTCTTTTTTCTAAACAAACTAGTGAATTTTTGACCTCTGTGTAGCCCTGTTAGTTCACACCTCAACACAGTCTATTTAGTTGCTTATAAATGGAGTTGTACAGTAGACCAAGCAGATTGTTTATTGTTTGTTTATAAAGAGTATGTTTTATACTAAAACAAAAAAGATGTTCAGTGGTAGATGAAACAAGGGATTTGCGTGAGTCTTATAATGTATTTTTTTTTGTTTTGTTTTGGTTTTTTTTGTGTTACCTTTACTGGTTTCTATTTCTTTGCTTTGGATCTTTCGGATCGATATGTATCATTTACAAATAGAAAGACAAAGTGTATTATCTTCGGTTACTGTGGTAAGGTCTTGACGAAATATGATGCGCAATTTCATTCCCAAACTTTCCAAAAAAGTGTGAAATGTCTTTTGTTTTTTGATAATTCTTTAACCGCCATGTGAACGGACAGACGGATTACGATTACGCGGATCCTTGATGACAAACGAAGGAATAAATATGTGAATAGCTCTTACGTTTGAACAGTCCGAGACTCTTCCTGAGAAATGACTGAATCTTCTGTTGGACCAGTAAGACTGTGGGTGGGGGGGTACACAGACATGCTCGGTGCTACCAGGGTCACCATCATCTCAAAGGCCTCATCTGTCTAAGTACTGATGACCGCATTGACCCAAGGAGGACCTGTCTGTGCCCTGATCGTAAACATTTTACGAAGGAACGATTGAGGAACCTGACTAAAGTGCTTCTGGCGTAGACCATCCGTGGCTAACACGTGCGTTACTCAGCATTTGGATATTAAAAGTGTATTACCCAGCGTCCCTCCCTGTTCGGAGCCCCCCACGCCCTTAAACATTTTTCGTTAGGATTTGTGTTTATGCTTTCTTCCATTTGGGTTCAGCATGTGTGTGTACGTTCTCATGGTATAATTTATTCTGCTGTATGACGTAGTAGAGTAGTGGGAAACTTGTATTTGGTAATTTCCTTCAGCCTGTTGGTGTCTTTCCTGTAACACTGGCGTAAATGTTACCAATTAAAGCTCTAAAACAGATCACTGACTGTGATGTTCATATTATTATGTATATTATGTTTCTGATTCATCACTTTGCATACATTTAAGCACTAAGGATATTATTCATTCATTCATCTTCTAAAGTGCTTATCCTCCTGGGGTGCAGGGGGAGCTGGAGCCTATCCCAGCGGTCATTGGGCAGAAGGCAGGGAACACCCTGGACAGGTCGCTAGTCCATTGCAGGGCAAACACACAGACAAACACACTTACACCTAGGGGCAATTTCAGATTCTCCAGTTGGCCTGATTTCATGTCTTTGGGCTGTGGTGAGAAGCCCATGCAGACACAGCGAGAACATGCAAACTTCACACAGAGAATACCCTGGTCGCCCGGCCCGGGAATCAAACCCAGACCCTTCGTGCTGTGAAGCAACAGAGTCATCATGCCGCCACTAAGGATACAAATAAAAAATAAATTAATAAAAAAAACACAAAGATAACATAACTAGTCTGCCGGTTAAACTGAAATCTCCATTTGTAGCTTTAGCTGTGCACATATTTAAATGTAATGTTTATAACAAACTGTGGATTATAATAGAGGATTTATAATGATAAGCTGTCTCATAATTAATATTTTTCCACACCTCCAAAGTTCAGTCTTAGAAGTTGGTTGCATTTTCTGCTTTTACTCATCCGAGTGATTCCAAACACATTCGGTAATCATTCAGTCTGGACTCTGGGCCGGCCTTTCCATTGTTCTGAGAACACCAGCAGCTTCTTCTGGTTTGCAGATTTTCTTCTGTTTTGTCCGTCTCCTTCTCTCAGTGAGGCTTCTTGACAGCTACACATCCTTTCAGACCCATAGCGCTGAGTTGTCTCTCACAGTGGAAGGATGGACCTGTGGATGTTTTCAGATCTGAAGCAGCTTGATTTTCTCCTCTCTCTCAAAGATGAAAGCATTGTTTATCTGATGGTCTACCAGATCTTCCAGGTGGTTGTTAGGAGTTGTATTTTCTCTGCATCTCTTAACAATATTTTTTAACTCCAGTTTAGGAAACTCCTGTTTGTCACTTATTTTCCTTTGACTTATGTGAGTGGATTATCTTATATATAAAGTATAGATATCAAAATATCTCCTGAAAATCTATTGACAGTGTACTTCAAGGCTGTTTCGATTGGATGTTAAATTAAGAAAGGGTGGTCTGTGACAACACTCTGTGTATTTTAATTCCAAAAGGAGTAGCAACAAAATTAGCATATTGTAAGTCATTGTCAGCCAAGGTTCTGTTTGTACACTACGCTCAGCTCAATCACTGGGCAGGCTAAGGTAGTTACTACTCACATAGAAGGCCAGTGTGTGCAATGCTATGTGTACCTAGGGTCCAAATTTTAATGAGGTCCATTTTACCGGAAATTGACCAACTCTTAATTTCTCGTTTAGAGTTTTTTTTTTACCCAGTCATAATTGTTTTCCTTTTCCTTTTCATTTCATTCGCTATTACTGTTCCATAAACTGATTTGACTCCAGTTATGCTGTTTAATTTGATTCAATAACCATTTGACTATTTATTTACGTATGTGGGTCATTCTACAGAAATGTCCACTTTTTTATCTATCCATAGGAGTCACTGGTGTCACCAATCGTCATTGGTCTTACACATAAGAAAGGTAGAACCAGTGACATTTTTAGTGAAAAATGCATTTTACAAAATGGCTGCTACAGAACATAAAACCACATGTTGTCAATCATGGAATATCCACTAAAATATGTAATTTAATCCATTTGTATTCTATTTACCTAAGAATAAAGTCAGTCACACCAGTGACTTCAACTAAAAGCTTCATATGAAATCATGAGCTAAATGAGAAAATCTCTGATAACTGAAAAGACACAGTGGACTCACCATGTGCTTTTCTTCATAGATCCTCAGAAAATAGGTAAAAGGAAGTCAAGTGATGTCATCAGTGTGAATTTTATTTCAAAATAAGAGACGCAGTAACACCAGTGACACGACTCCTGGGGACCACAACTTTCATTATGTATATTATAATATTTATTTGGCTTTTTTTAATGTCATTTAAATAATATATTTCATAGTCATGTATAGATTATTGCAGTTAAAATTGTAGAAACACATGTTTTTACCTCAAAATATGGCCTCACCCTTTACACATGGGGACGAGCTCTTCTGTGGTGCTTGGAATTCTATGTGATTGATTTAAAAACCAATATTGCTAAATTGACGGCTCAAGAAGGTGTAACTGTTAAAATTACGTATTGTTTTCTTTTAAAATACAAATAAATTGTAACCCTAACATGTTTTCAAGTGTAATGTATCTGTAAACGCTAGGGACACAAAAACTGATGTTTCTGTAGAATGACCCATATATTGAATATCCATCTTGAAACTTTACTAAATCATATTGATTGTATTAAATTTACCTTTCTCTCTCTCTCTCTCTCTCTCTCTCTCTCTCTCTCTCTCTTTCTCTTTAGCATCTTAGTGTTTGATACTGAAAAAGCACACATTAAACATATGTTATAGAAGTCCATCTCTGTAGAACCACTGCTAATGGAAAGGACAGGGTCCCCATACAGTTAATGAGACAACACAGTCTGATGTACCTGTTGATTTCTTAATTATGTTACATGGCTCTATAGCATCGATATGTTAGTTAAGAGTGAACTTTCTCGGGCTCATTGTAGTGTGTAGAGTTATGAGTAGTTAACACAATATTACTTTACCTTCTCATCTCTTTAATACTATAGCCAACTACAGAGCCTGTAGGCTAAACTGAGCAACTACTGGAACTAGACTAAAGCAGACTTAGCTAGCAACAATACGAGTAGCCTACTCAGTCTCCATGGTCATGACTGTGAGTGGGCCCTGTGTAGTATCAGTAATAAAATGATATTTTGCATTCCAGTTTTTTTTAAACACTGATGACATTCATTTGGACATGTAGTCTACTGAGTGTCATTCATAATATTTCATGATTCGTATATTTACTGCTGAAAATGTCAGTCAGTGGGCTCAGTTTATTATGTCCACTGTATTTTAGGATGTTACTTAATGTGAATTGAATATTGTAATGGTAGCGTAATGGCTGATAGCTGGCTAGCTAACTTGCTAATGTCAGACATTTATTGCGTATCCAGGTATAAACATATCTAATGTAAAAGTAACTGGACACTGAAAGTGTAGATCAGTGGTCACCAAACCGCTACTTTCCAGCAGACTTTGGTTCTAACTTGCATCTAACATGCCGCTCCCTCCTTGCCAAACACTAATGCATCCAATCCAGCCAATCAGGAATTTCTGAAGAGGTTAAATAGTTGGAGAAAGTGTTGCAGATGGTGGTCAGAACTAAACTCTGCAGGAAGGTGAATCTCCCAGACTGGGATTGGTGACGACTGGGCTAGATCACATAATGAAAGAGGTAGTTTAGTATTACTGATGCAATAGTAGTTGTTTTGACAAACGTTCAATCATTTGCTTTGTAGTCTCCACCTTGTTGAAAAGCTTTAAGCTCTTGAAATGTCATATTATGTTTAAGACAGGAAAAAAAATGCTGGGTTTAAACTTTTATTGGTTGACTGTAAAAATCCATAAATGGACAAACTATTTTGGAAAGACTGAAAATGTACCGGTAATAAACATTTTACAATGTTTTTTTTTCTGTCAAAATGATCAAAGGGGTCCATCAATGAACAAAAACTTAAAAAAAAAACTGTGATTTTTTGGCTGTTCTGGTTTTATAGAACCATTTTAACAGGTTCTTTAAAGGAACAAATAACATAGATTTTCCATCGTATGCTCTTATAAAACGATGATTCTTCAATGGTTCTTTAGTAAAGAAAATGCTTCAATGTAGAACCATGAACAATCAAAGAACCTTTTGCATGACTAAAGCATCTTTTTTGTAAAGGGTTCTATATAGCACCAAATATATATAATAATAGAACCATTTTTGATGTTCTATAGAACCCTTTTCAAAAAGGTGCTATATAGAACCATCTACAACACATTCTCCATCAGTCTGAAGAACACTTTCATGATATAAAGAACCCTTTAGTCATGCAAAGGTTTCTTTGATTGTCCATGGTTCTACATAGAACCATTTTCTTTACTAAATAACACTTGAAGAATCATCTTTTTTAAGAGTTTAGAGAAGAACCCATTTTTTAACTATGTGAAAAAGACTTTATGCATTTAAACCGTTCTCTTTCTTGAGTTGTCATGGTTCTATATATCACTATTGCCTTTAATAAGAATTGACAAACCATTTTAAGGGCGTAGAACAGTAATAATTTATGAGGTTCTTTTTTTCCAAATCTTTTTTTTTCTGACTCACCAAGACATCCCGTTACTGCAAACTGACACAGACAGTTTGTGTATAAAACATTCTGAAACGTTCTGTCCTCAAAGTTTTGATGGACAGTGCTGCTACTATTTGCTCTCATTCAGAAAAGTAAGAAATAAAGTAACAATAACAGCAACTGAGCCTTATTTGACCATTACAATGCCCCCTCTGTCAACCTCAATACGCAGGCCTCCTGCACTCTCTGCAAGCTCGGCGCTTCATGATGAGGGTTTTAAATCACACCACTGATGTCCGAAGCCAGTTATCTCCATGCATTTCATCTGAGGACCTCCCGGCTCTCTGCATGTGTGTAAATGGGCTCGGGGCTGACCGCTGTGCACAGCTGTAGGAAGCCATTCATTCCTCTAATGTCCAGCGCTGAAATCCGTCTGGCTGCTTTGGCTGGGCTCCATGCGCTGGGGTCTGATGTCTCAGACTGCTGCAGTCTCACCAGACCGCTGATATGCTGAACACACACAGGAATTTCTGAGCTTCAGCTGCTCCACATATAACACTGACACCAGCGACACTGACTGCATTCTTCCGAAGGCGCGACAGACGGGCATCCTGCACATTCAGGGTATCTGTGGATGGCGGGATGGTCGGTGGCAACGATGTGTTAATCACTCGTTTATCATCATCTGATACAGATAAGAGGACAATGTACTGTAGTAT